TTCAATTCAAGTGCATCAGTGCCAAATTGCATCCTTAGCCTGTGTAGTAGCAGAGCAGGCCATGGCAAAGACCTTGTGGTCACACTTGAGACTGGCAACCACTAGTTCCTTGCCCAAGCAGTGGAACAGCCAGTGATAAACCACACATTGTTGAATTGATTTCCTGGCTGCTCATCCACTACACTAAGGAATCTCATTACTTGCCAACACACCCAAGGACAGCCATATGTCACATTTTTGCTGCTGCATGCCAACCATGTGCAGAAAAAACTGGCAGCCCCCCTGCAGCACCCTTTATTTAGGTGTGTCTATGTGCACCAACCCACACCATGTGGCAAGGGAGGTGCACAAGGACATTCTATGGCTCATTCAATCTCCCAACAGAAAGCCACAAGAAAACTGGGCTTAGTAGGCAACTTGCAAAGGGGTGGTGTAAGCAAGTTAGGCAGGCAACTATGATTCCCCCCCCATCTGCAACAGCCAGAAAAAAAATGGCCACTCTTGGTACCAATGATGGGGACAGTGTTTTCTGTTTGTTCCTGGTGTAGCCAAAGCATGACCTGCCAAGGCACCTCCAAGACAGTCATCCTCTTGGAACCAACCACCTGGTATGACATGACAGGTGCTGGGTTGCATGTCATGGCTGTTACAAAAGGGGTCACAAAGCAGCACCAGCCACTCATCCACTGTCAATGAACTGACCCACCCCTCACCAGCATTGCCTTGGTTGTAGCAATGAGCATCAGCCAAGGCCCAGTGGTGTGTGCAATCCATCTTGGCCTGTTGAGACACCTTCAGGAATGCCTCCTCTGTCCATGGTCCTGGTGGCTCTGTAGCCATTGCAACACACAATGTCTTTGATCCTTAACCTGGCCTGCTTTGCTTGTGCACATGCCCAGGACAAAGCAAGCCCACCTGGTGTGCCTTGATGTATACCTGCCTCTCTGGTGCAAGCACAAATCATTGTGCACCCAGCATTGGGGGGGGGGTGAGTGGTCATCAATGTTCTACTGCCATCATGCTTTGTTTCACTCCCTTCATGATGATTGCTGTCTCACATCCATGACCACTCACCAAGGTTGCCTCAGGGGATGTGTGTGCATTATGTGGCGTGCCATGCAGTACAAAGAAAATATACAGAACAAGTAAATTTACCTATCGGGCTGCTGAGCCCAAAAGGCTGAGGAAAAGAGGTATCAGTTTTCCCGCCGCTGTGCAGATAAAACGGACTGTGTTTTTGCTTTTCTAATTTTTTCGTACACAGCATGGGCGCAGCGGTACTTTCTTCCTCGTCGTTCCTGCTCTCCTGCTTGCTGGTCCTCGTCTTGGGCCTCGCATGTCCCTCCCGCGCCAACGAAACCCGTTCCTGGACCGGCCAGTTCAAAACCACCGCAGCCGAGCACTTGGCCGTGGCCATCTCCCTCAAGTTCAACTCGACCTCCCCCGCCTACTCCGTCATCTCCACGACCACCATCAACCACCTCCGCGTCAACAACTCCGACCCCGCCCAACTCCGCTTCGACCACTCGCTCACCCACCCCGTGGGCAACAACGAGGAAGGTTTCGTGGGACCGACGCACACCGTCCTGCCGGCCCCGGCCAACACCTCCCTGCCCCGCACCTTCGTCGACTACTTCGGCCCTTGCGAGCTCGTGGACATGTTCGGCGTGCCCCTCGACGCCCGGGCGGCTTTCAGTGCCAACCAAGTGATCGAGGTCAACGCGACCGTTCGGGTCGACCTGACCGACGTCGTCTCGGTCGTCGCCAAGGAAGCCGTGCCCGTTCCCTCCACCCGCACCCAGTACTTCTCGATCGACCTGCCCAACAACGTCAGCGAGGTGGTCATCCTGATTAATAGCTCCGACCATCACACCAATCGGTCCGTCGGTTCGGTCTTTGACTTGCTGACGATCGGATGCGGGGCCGACGCCCAGATGGTCAACTTGGACAAGGCCAACGCCAGCTCTACGCTCGCCGTCGTGCCGTTCGAGAAAGGCGGTCGAGTGTTCATCACTCTTCAGATGGCCGGGGGCGTGCCCCTCCCGAAGGAGCCCTCGTTCTCGTTCTCCTTCGAAACGAAGGACAAACATGATGCTGACGACGACTCCGACTTCTGGAAGCCGTGGGTCATCGGTGTGATCGTCGGCAGTGGCGTTGGCATTGCTGTTTTCGTCTTTGTGGTGATTGGCGTGGTTGTCTGGATGGTCCGCAGCAGGCGCGACTACCAGCTCGTCAACTAAAACAATCAAAAGACACACTGCGCACTGTTCTGCAGTTGAGCATTTTGAGGGTCTGCAACAGTTTCGCTATCTCCCACAACACCGCCCACACTCTCCCTCCACACGCCAGGCCAACGAACAATCCACAGCGATGGCGACCGGCGACAAGAAAAAGCCGCTGCACAACGTACGATTAGAGACGAGCCACTTCACTTCTCCCCGAGGCAGCTGGAAGGGTACATCCGCGCCCAAGGGATGACCACCCACACCGGTACACACAATCCCCATCTCCCCACGCGCACCACAACTCAACACTTCCTCGCCGCGGTGTTGCGTACGCAGTTCTCTCTCCTGCTGGCCATCGAGTGAGTGGCGCACTCACCACCCTGCACACAACGCACCCCGCACGCGCGCGAGCAGAGTTTCTGGTGCGGGAACTGCTGGTGCTGGCGGACAAGGTGATGCGCGAGAATGGCGGAACACGCATCACCCCGGGCTATCTGCACCGCGCCGTCCACAACGAGGAAAGCATCAATGCCCTCTTCCTCTTCCTGATCACCTCCACGCCCTCAACGTCTTCGTCTTTGCCGTCATCATCTTCAACGTCGTCAACTCCTCCACCTTCTTCTTCTTCTTCCCATAGGCCTTTGTGAGTGTTTGTAAAAATGACTGTGGCTAACCCAAACCCTGATTAATGGGACTAACATACACCGCACCGCCAATTGCTGGGATTATCCCTTTATTACTTGTTTACACTGCTCACGCAGTGGCTCACTGGGCAGTAGTGACGTCGTCATAGTCGGTGCCGAGCGAGATGCTCTTCCACTCCTCGATCAGAGCAAGAGACGACTCGCACTTGGCCTTGATGATGTCGTAACAGTCCCGGCCGAGGGCCAGGCGCGCAGGTATCTCGGTGCGTCCGGCTGCCAAACCGGACAGAGTGAGCACGTCGACGATGCGCTGGGCGGCCTTGGCTGGGTCACCAGACTGCTTGCCATGGGTGCGTTCGTGCCAGGCCGCGACGCCACCAGCAGGCGTCTGATCGTAGTCGGCGATGTGTTGCTGGGCGGAGGCCAGGTTGGTTCCCTCCTTCAGTAGGGCAGTGCGGAAGACTCCAGGCTCGATGACGGTGACCGGTATGCCCAGCGACGCTACCTCGTCCCGCAGCGC